GGAGGGCGGGAAGCGCCGGGAGGGGCGCGGGAAGGGACGCGGCCGGTAACGTCCTTCGGTTGCCGCTGCCCCGGTAACGGCCGCTGACAGGGCTGCTCCCTGGTACCGCTTTCCCCCCCAGGATCCGGAAGGATGGACCAAGCCGCTGGAGATTTGAAGCAGGCCCTCCCAAACGTGTGTGACAACGTTCAAGTATACGTGGAAGTTCATCAGAAGTCGAGCAGGTCTCTGATCAGAACTTACCTTCCTGCAACTTGTGTCTGTTGCCTTTTGTCCTTGTGCTCTGCCTGCTCAATGCACTCCCATGACTTTTCACAAAGGTGTCTCTTCCTGAAGTTGAACAAACCCTTTCAGCTTTTCAGGTGATTCAGTCTCACCATCAACTTGGTGGCTGTACCCTGAACAGTATATCAGTGTGGCCTGTACAGCAGATGCCAAAACTGGACACAGTGCTCACAATATGGTCTCAAAAATGTCCAGCAGATGGAAAGACTCATTTTCCCTAATGTTTGCACTCTTGCTACCACAGCCCAAATAAGGTTGGCCCTATTAGTGGCAGAGGCCTGGTGCTCACTCTACCAACTTGTCCACCAACACCCTTGGGTCCTTTCTCGTAAAGCTGCCTTTCAAACAGTTGGCCTGTGGTCTAATGTTGTCTGGGCAGTAGATGGAGAGAAGGATTTCACATTTACTTTTGTTACTTAAAGCAGATCATGTCAAACCATATATCTCCAACTTACAGAGGTCCCTCTGAATGGCAGACCTGTTCGCTGGTCCTACTGAGAGCTGTCACTGTTTTGGTGTTACCCATAAACCTGCTGCAGTTGCTTTCCATCCCATAGTCCAGGGTGTAAATGAAGTTGTAAGAACAATGTTGGTCCCAGTATAGAAAGAACCACCGCATCTTTCCCCACCCAACTTACTGGCAGCTCTGCTTATTCTTTGTACTGCCAATCACAACCCTTTCAGCTGGACAGTCCAGCCATCTCGTCAATTTATCCAGTCCTTATCTTAGCAATTTAGCTACCTAGAAGATTGTGTCCAAGGTGTTGCTAAATTTAAAGGGTAAAATATCCACTGTTCTTTGTCAGACTTAAATAACTGAAAATTAGCACTGGGAATGCATCACTGACATCACAAAATTAAGTTAAAGGCTTTCTGAAATCTTAAAATGGTATTTTCCTGTAGCTTCTGTCTCTTCTCTGAGTTCCATTCTTGAAACCTAGCTGTGCCATTCCATGTCCCCTGATATGACTGCCAACAAAGAAAATAGTATTCTTTGCCAGTGCCTTTTAATGCACAAATTAAAAACAAGTATCAAAACTTGTTGCTTTTGCCAACCAACTGAATTTGGTAGGATTTCTTTCTGCAGAATGTTATGGACGGGTTAAGTAGGTTTTGGCTTTTTTTATGTGGGTTGGATTTTTGAGGGTAGATCATTTTGGGGTATTATTTTAGGTTTTTTGTTTGGGTTTTTTTTCATGAGACAGAAGCTGTTTTCCATATAGGCTTAGCATATGAAATAAAGCACTCTGATACTAGATTATACTTCTTTATAAATGTCAGTGCCATAAATAATGCTATTTCTTTCCTGTAAGTGTGGCCAAGAAAGAAGATATCAGGATGAGTGTCTTAAAGCTGTTGAACAGACATAACATCGTGTTTGGTGATTACAAGTGGACAGAGTTTGATGATGGCTTCCTGAACACCCATGTGCAGTCTGTGTCAATTGTGGATACAGAGCTGAAACTGAAAGACAGACAGGTATTTGAGGGTGCTGAGACATTGCAACAGTGTCAAGGCCAGGCTGGATGGGTCTTTGAGCAACCTAGTCTAGTGGAAGGTGTCGCTGCCCATGCAGGGGGGTTAGAACCAGATGATCTTAAAGGTTCCTTCCAACCCAAACCATTGTATGATTCTATTCACAGTCAAAAATGTACAGCCCTGTTCATATACACTAACTAGTTGTAGGTAAGACTAGTGATAGCCTAGGGACATATGCAAGACAAGGTCTATAGGGCGACGTAGTATCTTATTAGGCCAACTGGTGTAAACAGGAAAGAGGTGATAAATTTTTGAGCCTACTCCACTGCTCAGTAAGGTATGAAACAGAAGTAATAGGCTTTCAGGCTGGATGCCAGCTGAGAACTCTTAACTTTGTTATGTTATAGTTAGCTTCGAATGAAAAATACAATGTATAAAAAGTATTTTAATGTCTGTTCTAGCCTATTGACTTGAGCAAAAGCAGTCTTTCTCTTCATATTTTTCATCTGCATGAAGAAGGACCAAGCTCTGAAAACCTGGAAGAAGAGAATGAGGATATCATTGCAGCTAACCACTGGGTGCTACCAGCAGGTACCCATGTGATATTTCTGGAAGGTCTAGAGCAATTACAATGAAAGAAAATCTTGGAAAGGTTAAAAGTGTTTATATAGACTTACCTATTCAAGGTATTATATTGTTTAACTTCATCCTTTGTCAATGGAACCAATATATTTAGACTTCTTTACGGTTTGGACTGAACTAATTTATTTCTGTAATGCTTGTGGATGGGTGGAAGTAACTGGTCCTGTGCAATAAAATGTATAGTCACCTGGTCAGTCTAGTGAGAGGTGTCCATGCCCATTTAGGGGTTTGGAACTAGATGATCTTTAAGGTCTTTTCCAACTCAAAAGCATTCTATTATTTTTAACCCTACAAGCTGCATTCCAGTTTTTTATTTGGAGACCCACAAAAAGCTCGTAAGTTCAGACATTCGTTTTCCAGAATCCAGTGCTGGCTTTCATCCCCCAAGACATTATGCTCTTACATTTGGAACAAATAGACAAACTAAAGAGATTTAGAGTCCTCAGAGTGTCTTCCGAAAAGAAGAGTAAGGCTTGGCTCTACAGTAGATCATGGTCTGCCTGTTGCTGTCTTGTGCTTGGGAGGTTGGATTCTGCACCTGGCAGAAGTGCAGGTGTGATCTTAAGCTCTTTGGGAAGAATTCAAGCTGATACTTTGACATTATTCCCATATTATTGTGGTTTACAAATGTTCAGTCTATTTTACTTTCGTTCGCTGAAAGCTAGAAACTAACAGCTGGAAAGGATTGATGCTCAAATCATGTAATTTTTAATGCATAATTCAGCTATATGTTTATTATTGTCCTCCACATGTTGATTTAAAAAAAAAAAATTAAAAAAAAAAATAATTTGGCTTAGAACCCTACTCCTACCCCAGTTTTTCATAGCTCTTTTTCTTGGGGAAATGTAGGTTCATCCACCATCAAGGGTGGAAATAATAATATTTTTCTGTTCATGTTATGAAACTAAGAAGGTTAGTTTATTCTCACACTTATTTGAGGAAACAGAACGTGTGAAACAGCTGAATTTGTCTGTTAGAAAATAGTGTTGACATTTCAAGAAAAATAACTCATTTGAGTTTATATGTGAGACACATATTTTAACTGCTCTTGTTGTATCCTAATACTTCATTTTAGTTGAGAGTACTTTGAAAACCACTTTATGCCGCAATGGTAGGTTACAAGTTCCCAGATTGATTTTTCATTTTTGCTTTTGCAGCTGAATTCCATGGCCTTTGGGAAAGTCTTATATATGACAGTGAAGTAAAATCACACGTAAGTTGAAAATTAACAACAATTAAAATTGCTTGAGGAGAAGCAAGAGTTGAAATGTAGCCTGTTTGAAGTTTGCTGCATCCCATGGATAAGTTATTTGGAAATCACCAACTCAGGAAAGAATTCTGGTATCTGCTTATTATGGTTCTCTGTTTTGAAAGGTAGTATAGTCTTATCCATTTTGCAAAGCTTTATATTCTTATTAAAATCTCTGTACAATTTTTGATTGTTACATACTTCTCTGATATATACTTAAGAAGAAAGAGCTGATGTTTTGAGATTAAACATAATATCTCAGACTTGTACTGATATGTCCTGTGAAGTCAGCTTTCAAAAAAAATCAGTTACCCTGTGAAACAGAGTTC